TTTTTGAAAGGTGGTGTTTGGTTATTGTTGTTCAGAGTGGGAAGCTGATTCATGGCTTTGCTAGGAGTTGGCTGTGTCGTATTTTTCAAGTACAAGGGCAACCTGGGACATGGCAGAGGACTTCCCCTGCCTCCAGGAGACTAGCACAAAATCAAAATACTAGCTTTTTTTTTTATTCAGAAGTAATTTCTTTGAAAGAAGGTGTATAAACCCCAAGAAGAAGCAAATCGCCATCCTTCCCCTTTTCCCCAGGTTTGCTGATGGACTCAAAAAAACCCCTGTGTCCAGTTTGGGCTTTTCCCATCAAATAAACTCCACGAGAGCTGTGAGCCAATAGTGGCCCCATAGGTGAAAAGAACAGCTGTAGAAAATCCACAGAAGTTGGTAAGTTTAAAGCTCCTGGAAAAGTCATTTTAAAGAATAGGGCTGTGTCTCTTGAAGCTGATGGAAGAAGAGTTCTAGGTGTCCCTGGGAAGAGAAAGAAAAGGTCAGCTGCTGCCAAATGGAGTATGACTTTGAATTTTAAGCTTTTGGTTCTCAGGAGGGAAGGCAAAGATTACTGCCACTTAACCACAAATAAAAGCAATGGGACTATAGCACCAAAATCTATACAGTTGTCAATCCTTTAGTAATCCTCAAAATACAACAGCAGGGTTACACGTGCTTGGAAGAAACATTAAAAATCACTGTGGGCATCACTTACATGGAGATCAGCTCTGTCAGTCATTGCCCTCTTCTGTAAAACAAAAAGATAATTGCTGTGTTAACGGGGTATAGGAATAACAAAAGCGTGCAGATGTGTTTTCACCTGCAGTGTGATGACCATGACAGCTCTCCTGCTTCTCCCACTGGAGGAAGCCACCATCCTCCCAAATACCAGCAATCCCCTGCAGCAGGACGGGGGCTCAGAGCTCAGCCCCAGCTGCCTTTACCTTTATTTTCCACTTTAAAATCAGACGGGAGGAGGTGGTCCTGCCGGTTCCCCAACACAAAGGCCAGGAAGGAGAGTATGAGAGCGTCGAGGATGCCGATGATGCAGAGGATGTACGCCCAGCGCACGGTGCAGGCGCCCAGCGTGTACTTGTCCGTCTTGTCCCCGCACAGGCGCTTCACCTCGCTCGAGTCCCAGCCGTCGGGGTAGATCAGGCAGCCGATCATCAGCCCGGTAGCTACGGGGAGAGGGAGACGTTACATCGGCCGTGAGCTACCTGCTGAGCCGATACCGCACGGCAAGGCTGCGTCCAGCCACAACCACAATGCTACAAAGAGAGAAAATACTATGGACCACCTAATGAGGCTTAAAGGTTCCCCATGCCCTGCAGCTGCCCATCGCTCATGGGCTCTGCTTCGTTCACGCTGCTGCAGCCAGGAGGAGCAGGATACGGCACGCTGCCTTCCCGTGAGCCCGGCACGCTGCTCCCCATCAAGGACGCGCTGCGGCAGCATCTCCCATCACTGCGTTGCCCAGGCAACGTCTCTCCTCTCCCGCCTCCGCATCCCTGTCGCTCCAAAGAAGTATTTTCTCCGAACAAAACTGGGATGGATTTAGTCTGTACAAGGTGGAGAACCTCGTTATTGCCCCGTGTGTAGCTGAATTTCAGCTTACGCTTTGCCGAGGCAGCGCTGCCCTCAGCAGCAGCTTTGCAGGCAGATTAATTCTGCTTGTTCAGC